AATGTTGGGTACACTTCCTACCATATAGTATTATGGTTTTACACGAGGACCATCGACAAATATCTATCTATCTATCTATCTATCTATCTATCTATCTATCGTTCTATCATCTTTTGTTCTATCTATCTATCTATCTATCTATCTATCTATCTATCATCTTTTGTTCCGTCTGTCTGTCATCAGTCTGTCAATCTGTCTTTATATCTATCTATCTATCTATCTATCTATCTGTCTGTCTGTCTGTATCTCTAATCTAAATAAAAATGGAAATAAATAATTAAGTTAATACAATTAATAATATAATTAAATTAAATATATTAATAATAATAAAAACATTGATATTTTAATAAATGCTATTTATTTTTACAGAACTGAGCTGGGGTGATGAGTGGGAAGATGAGTGAAGGTCAAGACAACAGTGCTGAGGATGCTGCTGGCTGACATGGGACATCTCAGTGACAGCTTTGGCCGCCATTCATCGCCATTCTCTGTGATTAACTATGATGTACCAGGATGGACATCACTGAGGCGGGTATATTGTAGGGCAAGAGCCCTGCACCACGCAAACCACCTATTGCCTTAAATGGCAGAATGGCACCACATCTTGTTTTGGGGAGATGCAGCACTGTTGCATTTGGCATACCTTATCAGCATTTGGCCGCCATTCATAGTGTCTGCGGGGCTTTTTTTTTCCAGCGTCCCAGTTTTCGTACTCATGCAACATAGCAAATCCTTCAAAAGTTGTATGTTTTTCTTGACTCGGCCATCAACTTTCCACTAACAAAATTGATGAATGCCTTCAAATGATCCATTATGATATCTTAGATTTGTGGGTATAAATAGCACTGAAGGACACTCCCAGAGAAAGGTTATCTGCCAACCGGTCATTAATCTGTTGCGTGGGGTTAATTGTCTCAGAGTTTGTTCTCGTGTCACAAAATGTAACAAAATGACCATCGCTTTAAAGGCATTTATCAACTCCAGTATTTACAGGAAAAGTTGCCTGGGTGTGATTATAATGAACGTGACGCTGATATAGCACATCTTGGCCATGTGTAGATGCTTGAAGCAGATGGTCCTTATGGCCGTAGCTCAAGCCTCTTCTCTTTACCCAACTTTCTTATCTCTGCCAGGCCCTTAGTCTCAGGCTGCGCTCTTCTGGCACCTGCCACGCACAATATTCTGTTTTTCACGCACACAGGCTATATCGACCATAAACACAAACAGATATGTGTGTATTGGGACCAGCTGTCCCTTTCGTTTCCCATTCTATTATTTGTATTATTTCCACACCTTTTTGAATTGAACTTCGAACTCGCACCAATATATAAATCTTTATGAATAGCAATGGCCGTGTTTGTCCAGACACATGCAGTGCAGCTCCAGTAAATTGTTCTGGATTTCATTCTCATTGATTCCAGACAGGTTTTTTCCAACAATGGGTGCATTATTGGATGGTTTTCCCTGGCTTCCTCTGGCAAATTGAAACATTTTGGACCGCGCTAGGGCAGACGACCATGTGGTGTGTTTCTAATTGGTCGAGCGCATTTGCAGCAGGTCCCTATTACTTTCTTTGTTTAGCGTTTGTCTAGCAGGCGAAATCAAGCGGAAGTTTTCCACAGTGGCATTAGGCTTCCATTTCTCTCACATTAATGGCCTGTTGGGAAGTATTTCTGTCATCGCTTGTCTCCAATAGTGCTCATATCTTTGGAGTACTTGTCTTAGACTGTAGCAGGCCTAGAGAATTTCTGCATGTGACATTTCAAAGACATTGTTGAGGTATCAGTCATAACAGCCGAGTAATATCGATGCTAACAAGACCACAGATGACGAGGAACTGTTTATTTGGCTTCATGCAATTCCCTTTACAGTTTAATAACCTGGAACATAATGGCATCTGCCAACAATCAGAAGGGAGAATGCATGGAAATAAACACTGGTGCTTCCTGGTTTTGTCAATATTAAGTAAAGATCATGTTCCATAAAGATATTTTGTGAAAATTCCTGCAAATATCAAATATCCGATATCAAAAATGTATTATCATTAGTAATATGCATTGCTAAGGACTTCATTTGGAAAACTTTAAAGGCGATTTTCTTAATAATTCGATTTTTTTGCACCCTCAGATTCCAGATTTTCAAATAGTTGTATCTCAGCCAAATATTGTCCTATACTAACAAACCATACATCAATGGAAAGATTATTTATTCTTATTTATTCAGCTTTTCTTTTTCTATTCAGCAATTAAAAAAAAAAGACCCTTATGACATATACAACACATATATAACTCAAAATGAATAATTTGTATATCACCTTATTTTTAAAGTTTTTCTTCCCCCCCATTTTCTTTCCTAAAATTTATTTTTTAACCCCTTAATTCATGTCAGTTATTCCACAGTTTCACCTCTTTAACAGATATACATCTATTTGTTTTTATATTCATCCTTGCCCTTTTTTATTTTTATTTTTTTTGTATTTATTTATTTTTAATACGTGTTTCCCTAAGTTCATATTGACCTGTTTTGCCAGGTAATAAAACGAGTGTGTTCAGCCTGTTGTTCATTTCGTATTAGCCAAAATGTCGTAAACAAAAACATGAACATTATTAGAAAGCACTTAGCATGTCATGTTTAACCAAGTGGCATGTGGAAATGCTAAATGTGCATGAAGAGAATAATTTATTTTGGAAAATGAATTTGTCATATCAGCAGTTTGAAAACAGTTAGTAGCGTCAGTGTAGCGTGGTTTCACGAGCATGTCGTTCATGGTTTGCAGGCTTCCAGCTGGTGTTTTCTGAATCTGCCGCAAAACAGATCATTTCAGCACTTGTACGCTAGAGATCTATACCTTGTAAAATTCAGACCTGCCTTTGATTTGCTAAGTTTCCAGTAATATAGAATAACTGGATGTGAAGATCTGGGCATTGCTAGGTGGCAGAGTACTTTTCCATTGCAAAGCTTGTGCCAGATGAAAGAACAAAAGAAAAACAGATGTAGACAATCATGTTTTGGGGATTTTGAAGTAAAATAAGGTTAACAAGAAGATGCCATATATACACATGTGGTTACTTTTTTGCTTTTTCACATAGATTGAAACAGACTTTCTAACCACTATATGAATGCAGCAGGATTAGACAAGTCTTAAAAAATGTTTACTTCAAGCTTCTCTATAAGGTATTGAGACCAAAACTTTGGAAATTTAATATTTATGGATTATGATGGAGATAGCAGTCATTAGAATGTCTAAACACTTTATTTTTTGTGAAAATTCATGTTTTCATTGATGCTTATCCACAGTGTTTGATAACATATGAATACAGTTCTTTCATTTTTGCTTTTGATAAATAGGGAAAGGGAGCCAGCTATATATTCAAGTATATTATTTTCCTCTTCGGGAGAAAACTTATTAAGGTTAGATTATACTAAAATGTCACAGAGAGTGCTGCATCTGAAACTTGAGAGCAAGTTTATTCAAAGCAGGTCAGATCAGTGCAAGAGTGCCTTCTACTGGGCAACAGAGGAATGTGAGATTGATACCAACAATTTTCATGTCTATTTCTGTTTCAGTAAATTATTTGTCTTAACAAGCATTTTGCACATAAGAGAAGGTGTTAATTTTATCTTCATAACATTTGTAAATCATTCTAAAATATGACAGTTTTGAATATAAATTCTAAAAAAAGATAAATTCTGTAGCCATCTAGTCAAATTTTTTTATTATATTCGTTATTTTCTTTAAATTATTATTTATTAATAAAAATTAGTTTTCAACATGTAAATACATATTTTACACTCTTATTGATCCAGTGCTTAACACACTCTTCATTTGAAAGCATCTCTCCTCATTTATATGCTATTTGGATCCTCAACACTGTTTAGAAGCGATAGCACTTAAATAGACAGCATTGTTGAAATGATTACCCCCCAAGCTTTCATAGTGAGAGGGCTGTAATTGCATTCCTGTGCAATGTTAGCCCTTTCTTTAGCTCTGTGTGGACCCTAGTGACCTGTGAGATGTATATAGTAAACAGTGCTTACTGGCCGTATGGCACAGCTCCCAATCAGGGCTAGTGTCCAGACCCCTGCTGTTCTGTTCGCAAGATTATCTGCCGTCATTTCTCACTGAGCCCAGCGCTACTGTGGCCGACCACGAGTTTTAGCAGCTACGGTTTTTATTTTGAGTCAAAGTTCACTCTGAGAGAATTTAAAATAGAAGAACTTACAATTAAATGAATAACAATAATAGTTCAAAATTCCTTAAAATACATTTAAATAACTTATTTTATTAATATTACTAATTAATTTAGTCATGTTGAATTTGATAAATGTTAAGGACAATGAGTATTTGAAACCTTACTTTATTTAAAATGTTTTTGTTTCCAGCTGAGAACATTTTAAGTCATTTTCAAGAGGTGTGTTTTTAGTGTATTTTCAAAAGTCAAGAAGTTCTAGGAAAAAAATAGTGACCGTTTTCTGACATGTGGTGAAAAGTTGATCACCCATTCTTTTTTTTTTTTTAAACTGCTCATAGGTTTGCCGCTCACTTTTGCGATTAGTGACCCAAACCTTCGGATAAGGGTTACCTGTGGTGCTCCACTTCTCCTTTCCCAACAATGTTCCTAATATCTCCAGCTAAATCGCATTCCTCAGCCATCGTCACAATGGGAGAACTGTTTGAAGCCTAGTCTCTCTCTCTCTTGCCCATATCTCAGGTATTCCCCTTACTTAGGAACCTGAAGCTCCCAGACCTCTCATAACCTCTGTCGCTGTGTCACTTTTGAGCTTAGAAGAAAAAAACGCATTTCAGGAAAAAGAATATAAAATAAAAAATTGTGATATTGTGTTTTAATAAAATCTTTTTCAAGAAGAAATTTAAATAATTTTAGAGTGTTTTATTTAAAAAATAAATTAAATTAAATTAGAAAGTGCTACAGAAACTTACAGTGGTTATATTAAAGCCTCGCCGTAAATGATATCAGGATGGTCAGTGCCTTAACTTAATAATTTAATAATTTACAGCAGTATAATTTCAACATCGTATAAGCAGAACTGTCAATAGGCGTAAAATATTTTTGTTGGTGCGCTCTATGATTTGAAAATAAATTTGCCCCAAAAAAGAAACCTTTTCCGGCACCGGGGGATGAAGTCCAAAACAAAACATTGCATGATAGTCTTTAAGTAGTTCCATCTGTCCAGCAGAATTTCAGGCTAATAGCCTGTGGCACATCAGTCCGTTCCCTTAACTCCCGCAACCTGACTCTGTCCTATTAAATCTCTCCACTCCTCCAAAAAAAACAAAAACAAAAAAAAAAAACAAGTGAATGAAGGAGAAAAAGATCTTGAGCAGACCCAAGTCAACTAAATTGTGATAGTGATGATGATGATGGCAGTGATGAAGCACGAGCCCTAATTAAGGAGAAAAAAGGACCTCAGGCACTCAGTGATGTGGAAAAAAAGGGCTCATCATTGTGGTGTATTTTTTTAAGGACAGCTCGCTCTGTGAGCAGAAGACTGCCGCTCACCTTGCCACGGGGTCTGCGTGAGATTGGTTCATTGTCAAGGATTTTTTTTTACCCATGATTCCATATGGTATGGAGTGGGCTACATGTTGCCCAACATGCCAGTGCAAATGTTTTCTCAATTAGGTGTCTTATCTCCGGTGAGTGCGCTAGCATCAGATGAAGCTTGCTGACAGCGTAATGGCAGCTAAAACCTCGGAAGGCTCAATCAAATGGCAGCTCTGCTACGACATCTCGGCCAGGACTTGGTGGATGGTAAGTTGGCAGCGACTGAACCTTTTTCTTCTTTTTCTTGTTCTTCTTTTACCTTTTTTTTTTTTTTTTTTTTTTTTTTTTGAGTAAAACTTCCCTCCATTTTTTTTTCCATTCACAAAGAACACACTTTGTTTTTTGAAACTCCACTTTTCATTTTTACATCCAGTTGGTCGAAATTAGTTTTTTTATTGTAGTTTCGTTCCACTCAATAGCTCCTCTGTTGGTCCTGTCACATTTGTCTTCTTTGTTGGCTCTTTAATGTACTCCTCTTTTATTGTCCACTTTGTTAAAGATGTCAGATAAAAATTGACTAGTTTTTTTTTTGTTGCATACTAAAAACATCCACGTCGAAACAAAAGCTCTTTTGTCACTTTCGCACAAGTGACATTTCTCATTCATTCATTACTTTCTGCTGTCAGTCCGTATCCACAAACGAGACGTCCCGTGTGTGTGTGTTTTCCCTTTCCCCATGTCTTCTGCTTTCACTTGACAGAAAAGTTTTGCGCAGGAGTCCAAAGAAGGAAAAACAGGACAGAAAGGTCTCGCATCGATTCTTTTAATCCCTTGTTTACACTGAGGTTTTGTGGTCCATGCGTGGTCGCTCGGTACTCCGCTCCTCGGCTATGACACTCCGTCGCTGCAATTAAAGCATGGAGAGGAGAGAAGAAAAAAAAAACTCCAAAGTGTTCTGGGACAAGAAGAACTCTGTGCCGGGGCAGATTAACTTGCTTGTTGTGGTCAGTGAGGCCAGACAACCTTTGACATAACTGCCGCTCCACCAGAAATGAGGAGAAGTGAAAGTGGGACAGGAAAAAAAGACCGGTTTGTAGATCGCAGCGAGATGAGGAGGGGTAGGGATTCACAATAGTCTATTGTGGCCGGCAGTTACAAATGAGCCGCTTCGGGTACATGAAAGGCTTTTGAGAGCGTCCTGGGTTCATAAGGCAATGATTCATTAGCCCGGCTTGAACTTAAACAGTATTATTGCCTTCATTATTATAATTGCTATTTTTTTAACAAACTCCGAAATAACTTTTTTTGCACACACTCCTTAAATACAGTTATGTTGCATTGGGACAATAACTGTATTATTTCCCAGTTAGGGGAGCATAAACTTCAGATGTTGGATTGTGTCTCCCCCCTCCTTTTTTTATGAGTTAATACGGTTTGAAACTCTGGAAATCAAATTCTAAATGTCAATTTGTTTGATGGTTTTGTTTGAAATATTGTACAAAGTTGAAATATATATTATATATTCAAATTGCCATTAGTTATAGTACAGATGTTTTTCTAATGCAACGTGGCAAAATTTGGATGAGTAGATTTTGTATGCATTTGTACCCGGCGTATTATATTTTAACACATTTAACAAATTTGTACAAACAACAACCAAAAAGATATTTTAAATGGTACAAAATATAATTTAATATTAGTGTTTTTTGTGCTTACCATGTGTTTTTCTTCTTAAATGTTTAAACTTTAAACTCTTAAACTATCTCCTGCTGTTCTTATTCTTAATTACATTCAATATTTTGATCAGATGAAATAAATACTCTGTTTAGGAATTAATTTTTGATTAGTTTACATGGTTGTTTTATGTATTTGTAAAAGAAAAGACAAAAAAATTGAAAGTGAACAAACAGGATTATTGATTTTTTTAAATCAATAATGAATGTTTAATGAATGGGGTCAAAATGTGACCTTCTCAGCCCACCTTTTCTTTGCCCATTTCTGCTTTTTCATGACCAGTAATGCCTGAAACGTCTAGACAACTAATATGCTGCTCCGATTACTTTTATTCTAAAACCTGAGCTTTAAAATGCAATTTCACTTTTCATTTGTTTGTTATCCTTCAGTTTTTTACTTCGTCGTCACAGTTGGATTGTCAGAACATGTTTTGTTTTTCACTGGCAATTACTCGGAAAATTAGGATAATTTAAAAAGGAGCAAGACTGACACCCTCTCGTAAAAATAATCATCCATATCCTTAATAAAGCTTATTTAATTGCCGACATGCGTGTAGACATTGTTTAAAAATTACCTGCTGCAATTAACACCGCTTGTTCTCCTGAGGTGCTTGAGCTTTTGGGGCAAAGAGGCGGACCAGATCGGGGCTGATGTCCACTCACCAGTGCACTAATGCTGCTATGATGGGATCCCTTACCACCTGAGGGGCTAATGGGATTTTACCCTCTGTACAATTGGCACTTCTCTAATCTGCTTGTCAGAGAGCAGACACCCCCGAGAGGCACAACATTTGAGGTTGAGAGTCGGAGGGAATAGGTTGAGGCTATAAAATCATTATATGTTCTCTGCTGTCAGGGTCCACTGGTGTACGCCGCCCGCAGCGCTAACATCACAGATCAAATTAGGTTAAAAGAGAGACAAAAACACTGTCAGATTTCATAAGCCCTCCGTGTTAATTCTCTTCACATGTGCTGTTTAAATATGTTCAGGGTTATTGCAACTTTTGAAGAGAACCTTATAATTATAGCGTGATATAATTGCGTCCAGCTTGTTAATTAAAGTCTTAAGGCGACCTTGAGTGTATGTAATGGAAAATAAATTATTCATGATTTTGCGATTATTTCTTTTATTGGATTTAGATTATTATAACTATTTATAGGATACTCAAAGATGAGAAATTGTGTTTGATTACTTGCCCCCTTTATTTATTTATTAATAAATCAAATTAAATACTGATAAATCATTGAACATTCTGCTAGCACAGTTTTTGCCATTTAATTGTGTATTTTTATATGTAGTAATAGAAACGTTCTTCCATTTTATACTGAATAATGATTCACCAGTGAAATAAGCAAAATGTCATCTAGTTTATTAAAACAACTCACAGCTGGAGTTAATTGCATTAGGACTCTTGTTATAAAAGTAGTTCTACTTTTAGGTTATTTAATAAAGCGGTTTTATTTTATTACACAGTTTATGACGCAACAAGGCTTTAAAGCGCAAAGACCACATGACAAATCCTAACACAAATCTATCGTGGCATTTTGTTTTACACAAAGTCCCATTTTTGCCGCCTGTTGTCCGGGCAGTGTGTGTCATGTCGGAGTGGAAGATGTTTCTAATTTGGCCTCCACCGTGGACTGCGGAGAAATGATTAGAGTGGAGGAAATTGGAGGATTAAAATTGTCTGCTTGAACTTCCTGAGCACTGCATGCTCTCTCAGCATTTCTGCTCTGGGACTTCCAGGCCGAGCCCTGAAGCGAGGGAGCAGTTTCTATCCCACTCGCTCAGACCTCCAGAGCAGGGTACACACTGAGAGTACAGTGACTCTCAATCTGTTAATGTGCGCCGCGTTACCAGCCCTGAATGACTCACCACCCACCTGAAGGAGTCGGAATTAATTTGTCAATGGGTGACAGAGCAGCACCTTTAAAAGAGCAAATTAGAGCTATTAAATATTTGTTCTTCCATTTAATATCTCCCTTTATATATATATTTATATACATACTGTGTTTTGTCTAGATATTTTTTGTTACTCTGACTTGCATTATGAAGTCATTTTTAACTTTTAGAGACATTCTGCTTGACTTAAGCAAAGTCTCTAATATCCGTTCATATGTTTAATATGTTAGAAAATGTGCCTGAGGGTGTCTTTGCCTCTTTTGTAATGTGATGTATATCTGCTTCATGAGCCTAGTGTTTTATGCCCAGTTCCAAGAGCTCATTTTGTTAGTTGTTTTCATCTTCTGATTATATTTATGCATATATATTCCCCCGCCCCCCCACACACACACACACACACACACACATATTAAAACTGCCAGAAGTTGTGAAATGCGTGTTTGAATAAATTAATGCAGTGATGGGCTCTGAGAATATTGACTGGCGAATTTTAGCATTCTCTGAAGCTCACACTTGGCACACGATTGTTTTGTTGGCGTTCCATCAAGAGATGCGAAGAAACGAGGATCAGATTTGGACATGGCTCTGTGTCAAAAAAAAAAAG